CTTCATGGTGAGAAGATAGTGGTAGCACAACCAGAAATTACTTTTCTAAGATGCTCCTCTGCTTTAGCAACAAGGTTTATCCTTTTCTTGCAAATAGATGGTTTGTTAAACATGCAACTTCTAGATTTTAAAGTAAAACCAATATCACCCAAATCCTCTTGTACTACGGAACCTTGGTTCACTCGCAGAGCCAGGGACCATCTTGCACGATTAGACTCAAGTCTTGCGAAGACAACAAAAAGGGAAAAAAGGAGAGTAAGATTTTGCAATGACCAAATTAGCATCAACAGCACTGCTAAGTAGCTTAACTGTCACGATATAGTATGTGTAAGTGAGGTGAACTCACCAAGTTCTAACCAACTCCTGCCTGGGGAAAGAGCAGGGGCAAGCACCCTCCCACCACTCCAGCCCTTTGCTCTTTATCCCCCTCAGTCCAGAGCTGCATCCCACTCCTGCCTCCTTCGCACAGCCCACTCTCCTCCACTCAACATTTGCACTGCAGGCTTGTAGTTTTTTATCCTGTCAGTCTTAAAACTTCCAACTCTGCTTCCAACCACTACAAGTCTTTCTTATCTTTCCAGCCTGGTTTCCTTCCAGCTCTTGTTATTTAACAAGCTCTGCTCTTTGCAGACCTGGCTTTTCTTACTTCCCTTCCCCAGGCTCCACTCCCGTAGTCCATAATAGGCAGCCAGCACCCTCCCCACGCATACAGCTCTTGGTCTTTATATAATTAAAACCTCCCTGTGAACTTCAAAGACTCCCAAGAGTTACTGGAAATGAGCACACAGCCCTTCATTCTGACATCAACCCCCAATCCATGTGTTAGAGCACACCGAGCACAGGAACTCCAAGTGGCAAAGATGTGCTCAGGGATGGCAATATTTAGGATAGAGAAACTGAAGGACAACCCTTGCTGTGCAAGCTAATGTTTTCCTCAAAGGCTTGTCATGTAGTCAGAAGGCTGAGTGTTGACACAAAGCACACATTGCAAGCTCCCCTGACAGCAGCCAAAATACTGCAAGGAGCCTTCAATCACTTCCAAGACAGCAGAACAAACAAGCTTCCCTCAGCTTGCTCTCTACAGCATCTGGACTCCTTTCCTCGCCTGCCCAGATCAACCAGTTAAATTTGAGGCAGCATCATAAACCACAGAAAAGCTGATATCCCAGATGGGAAGCGTTGTGCAACCCCAGTGACAGACACTGTCGCTCAATCAGTTGTGAAAACAGCCAAGGTCCAGCACCACTGATTACACCAGGGGTCCTGGCTGCTCCCAGCCCTGTGAGACAGACATCAAGGTTTGAACCTATTCTAAGAAAAGTTCATTCACAGGTTGGAATCACATGGCAATTTACACACCAATACTCATGCCTCAGGCTTTTTCCCCATAATGACTTGAATTTTCTCTATTTGGGCAAGTCCCAGGATGGCACCAGCACTCCCCAACGTTGGTCCCACCTACCTTACAGCCCGGCCTCATCTGGAGAAAGTGCAGTTTGTAATCTCATAATTACACAACATTTGTAATCTCCTGTAGCCAAGAGCCACAGTCCATAAGGTCAACTGAGCCCTCGCATATCTGAGAGCCACAGTCCATAAGGTCAATGAGACCCATGTACGCGCTTCAGAGGCCTTTCCACAGTTCATAGCAATGGGCCTGTAAGAACGAACTATAACAGTGCGTACTGGTGAACAGGTTGCTTAAACTGATGAAAGGTTTACATTTCTATATGTATAAAAAGAGATAGGAGGATTAATGTATCCAAAATCAGTAGAAAAGATTTGTCTTCCTGTGCGTGCCTTAGTCTTTACGGTAGACACCAAAGAAACCTGAAGGAAGATCTTAAAACAGCTTCTCATCCAAATTCTCCAAGGTGCTGAGACCCATCACAACATGCTTGAACATTATATTGGTAAAGAAACAAAACTTTATTTTGTAAAAGTTGGAGAAAATGTTTAAAAAACAAGCGAGTGAGGGGCTGTAAATGAGGTAAAACACTATCCCCAAATAGCAAACAAAGAACATCCCCTCCCCAGCTCTGGTGTAACGCTCCCAAAGAACAGACGGAAGCCTGGGCTTCGGCAGAGGACATCTGGAGTTCAGAGCACAATGCCAGGCATCATCTCACTGCTGGAGAGGGCTGTCCTTCCTGGAGGCAGGGGTGGTACATCCAGATATCCCTGAGCACCAAGGGAGTCTACAGAGTCCAGACTTCCCCAGGAGGCAATAAGCATGCTGCTGCCAGCACAACCCTGGACGATGATGACCCCTAACTGCCAAGGAGGAGGAATAAACCATCAAGAGGAACCATCCATCACCACCACAAAACAAGCACGTTTGCACACTGTTGTCCACATGCAAGTGAAGAACAGGAGCTGGCCTGGAGCTCCCTGGAAGACCTCACACACTAGGGCCGAAACCCATGCCCAGGACAGTCCTATTTAGCAGTTACTAAAGTTTTCCTACCACCATGGTATTTGTTCACCCCAGAACTCAGAACACATTTGCCTTGTTAGACAGAAAAGCAAAACCCCAAACAATTTTTAAGATTCATAGTGGAGGGAGAGGGGAAGAAAACCAGGAAGCTGGAGTACAGCCAGGCAATATCTTCCAGCAGATCCCCAGCCACTCCAGCGGTGCTTTTCCCCAGGCTTTAGCTCCCTCTGTGGGACTCTGGGATGATGCTGCACCTGCTCAAAATGAAAGCACAGTTAAAATCCAGGACTGCCCCACCTTCCTGCAGCCAGTGTGCACAGGTTTGCTGCAGCTCAAGCCACAGGGACGTCACCTTGCAGCAGCTGAAAACAGGCACGATGGACCCATTCCTGAAGTACAGCCAGCTACCCCAACCTCAGCCACCTTCAGAAAATTCTGAGTTAAAATTCTCAAGCCCGTGCCTGATGGGAAAGGGTTCAGAGCCACCTTCACAGACAGCTGGGGCTGGAGGGCGAACTGCACCCCAGCACCAGCCCTGCACTTGCACTTCATGCCAGGACCTGCCAGGAGCAGCCAAGCATTTCTGCACGCCACCTCCCCTCCTATGCCATCTCTGTTTATATTTAGGCTGCAGCCAGCTTCAGCTTTAGCAACTACAGACACTTCCAAGAGGTTCTCTTTTGGCTATTTTTCATTCTCTGTCCTTGCTGACATGACGATGGCCAAGAGGCTTCCCACTTGTATCAGCACAGGTCCTGTTGCCAATAGCTGGCCTTTGCAAACCAGCATGCTTCTCTGGACCCCTGGGAGCTGGAAGTGTAATTCTGCTGAGCTGCACATTCCTCTAAAAGCATTTCTCAGAGCTCTGTTATGGAAAAAAGAAAACTGAGGGGGGGCGGAGGCAGAATAGGGTGGTGGTTTTTTGTGTTTGTGGTGTTTTGTTTTCCCTTAAGCCAAGCTGGTGACAATTTTACTTCCTCTCTTCAGGGCTGGCTCCAAAAAAATGAACACAGAACAATTCTAAGTCTCATAAAATCCAAGGTTTACTATCCTGCCTTTCTGCAAGAAGTTTTTAACATAGCTCCTCTTTCCAAGCCACGTGAGATTAACGTGAGGTTGCAGTATCAAGGTTGCTACTTAGCTCTGAAAAATTTTAAAAAACCTTTTGAAAGGAGGAAAAACCTCTTGAAGTCATCTGTGCCAGAGATAAGATGCTTGCATCTACCCTTCAAAGACTCTAGGGATGCTAAAGAGCTGAGCCCCTCTACAGCCCCATGGCATGGGCTAATGAGCTCCTGAGGACTCCACCTTCCCATGTTTACACAGCCTGCATACAAGGGGGCTTAAATAAATTAATACAATAATAATAAAGTTAATGCCAAGTCTTCAGTTCACGAAGTATCGGGACTCACTTCTGCCTACAGAGCCATGAGATCACAGTATCATTGAACTGCTCTGCATGCTGTTAAAATGACTAAAATTAAGGTAATAAGAGCTGCTTTTGAACAGTCAGGCGCCTGGAGCAGTGGGAACCTGAGAGCTGCCCTCTCTCCCCAAGCAATTCATGAGGCTTCTGGGTTTTTTTGCAAAAACTTGTTATACAAATTAAAAAGAATTGTCAATTGATTAAAAAAAAAAAATCCTTTGTTTTTGTGGTTTGTGGTCTGGGAGGACAAGAAACAGATGTACTTGAGAGGTCTACACAGAGGCCTACCATACCCAATGCACAGCTTGCTTTCCAGGATGCTCAGCCCCTGCGGTGCCCCGGGACACAGACAGGTTTGCTGCCTTTCAGACTCAGCCCTCTTTACCGAGCGTGACCTGCAGGGCAAGTGCAACTGCAGAAGTACAGGGGGTTCCTACTCTTTCTGGAGACTGCAGTTCCCAGCAGATCACGGTTTACATTGACCTAAGCAGTCAGGACAGCTGCTCGAGGTTTTCACTTCCTTCAGCTGCACTCTGCTACTGAAGAGGGTGCTATCAATATCTGCTTCACAGACAGGAGCCCACACAGCACCCCAAACCCCTAAATGGATCAAGTCTTGACACCCCTGCATGTTCTGCAACTATCACGCGTGAGGTCAAGCGCAGGAAACAAGATGCTCACGCGACTAGACCAATGCCAGGGCATCAGTGTCCAACCTTGTACCTGAAAGGATGAAGAGCTGCTGTGAAGTTTTTGCTCCTACAGATTTTCTACGTAAGCTTGGATGAATGACCCTCCGTTTTCTTTTTATGATGATCGGCAGCAGGGATTGCATTGCCTTATGAGGAACACTTGAAGCACTAAAAACATCTGACCTGTGCAGTACTGAAGAAATGCATGCGTGCATGGTATTTTACATCGGAAGGAGCCACTACTACTTCTTCTTCAGTTCTCACTGGTGTTCTGTCCTTGTGGGCCAGACAGCGCTGCAGTCTATTTCCTCATTTTACAGGCTTTAGTAAAAAACAGCTCACAGGGGAGAGGAGTGGATCAGTTCCATAAATGGTTTCACCCCAAAGGAGCACGACGGGGAGCTGCTGTAGAGTCAGACAGGGAACCCCACCACCACCAGCAGCAACCTACCTCTCTGCCAAGTGCTCACTGACAGTGGTTCCCACCCCTCACATTGTGAAGCTGTGCACAGGCAGGGCAGGAGGAAAGACTCACACTGTATCTTTACCAAGAAAGAAGAAATCAACACCGAGGTGTAGGCAGCCCAGGCTCAGGTGCTGGAAAGCAGGGGTTTCGTCCGCTCAGGGCCTGGCACATCCATGTTCTTGTGGGGTTCTGGGTGTGGCCAGGAGCTGTTCGATCTTCGCAAAGGCCAATCCATCTCATCGTAGTGGCAACAGCAAATGGAAGAAAACAGCCGAGTCCGGACCACCCGTGTACAGAGGACAAACATAATACAGTTGGCACCTCCTTGGAACGTGTTACCAATTCCCTGCAAGGGCAAGAAAGGAATTAACCAGTGTGGTTCCTACAGGCACCCCCCAGGGAAGAGCAAACAGCGACTCAGACCAGCTATAGTACTGCCCAACGCAAAGTCAGCAACTTCCACCTAAACGAGAAAAACAGATGCAGAGAAATCCTCCTTGCACCCCAAAGCAGAGCAGACGGCTGTTGAGGGTTGCCATTTCTACAGCCTAGTCTAGGGGAGGAGCAGGCTGAGCCCTGCTGAAGGACAGACAGCCAACATTTCTGGTCTGAGCCTGCTTTTCCTACAAGCAGCCAGCATTGCCCACCACTCCTATTGCAGTTATTCTCCAAAGCCACTAGATGTTGCTGAAATAGCTTTTGCTGAGCACCCCAGCCACGGCTTGCCAGCAGAGAGCAGATGTTCTTGCAACACACAGCTTGTTTTACCAGTACACGCTGCATCCTACCACAAAAAAAGTGGTACTAAGAGCAATAAAGCAGTATCTCCCTCCCAGATCCTCCTTTTAATGCATTTCCTGGCAAATACTTACATGCAGGACAACCAGGACTGAATTTTGCACTGCAGGGGAGTTACAGAGGGTCAGAATGAATCGCACAGTGCTCCAGATGCGGAGGATGATAAAGATGACAGGGATGAGAATCAACTTCTTATCTGCTATGGAATTCCGGGGCTGAAATGCAGGTGCTCTTGAGAGAATGGGGCGATACTCTGAGAGCGCTGCGTGCTTCCATGGACGGTGGGAGGGAGACAAAAACGTGAACAAAAAGCTACACACATTGGACATTTAGCTCCAGGGATTCTTTCCAAAGCAAACTAAATTTTTGCATCTTGCGAGAAGTTATCAGGTCAATGCATGGCTAAGGATTTGGCCTTGGGAAGGCCTCTTGAAGAGTGTGTGTGTGTGTGTGTGTCTCATCCTTCTCAAACTGTTCAGACTTTTAGCCTTCACCACAGCCAGCAAGTTCCACAAGGAATTTATGCCCATGCAAACCCATCCTTCAATGTGTTTGTGTAGAACCTGCTGCCTGATTTCTGACCATATAGTGTCAGCAATGGGCTTCCATAGATTTCGACAAGCCAGCAAACCTCTCTATACCAGCATCTTAAAAAAAAAAAAAAAAAAAAAAAAATCAGGGATCTGTGCCCTGGATCAGGGTGTAAGGCCCATGAGACCTTCCTACGGTAGAAGCTACTGGATGCACTCAGATTCCCGGATGGGGGAGAGCAGGTCAACACAGAGCAGCTGCTGGGATACATGATGCTGAATACCAGGATGTTAGTGCAGGTAAACTCTGCACAGGACAGCTGACCTGCAGAAAACTATTCCTCCTACCATCAGGGCTACAGAGCACACATACCTTTGATGCACAATATTCACCTTCACTCCAGTACTCCCAGTCCAGACACCTTGCTTCCTCCAGAACAGAGCTGTACGACAACACTGCACGGTGGCCCAAGTCAAACCCCGCTGAGGGCTTTCAGTGCAGCTCCCCATCCCCTCCCCTGCAGCCTTTTCCATTTGGAAAGCCCCTAGCACACACCCCGCGTGTGTCCCCCACAACAGCTACTTCTGTAATTTCTCCTGCCTCCCAGACTGTGCAGAAGCCACTACTGCAAAACCTGCTGTAGCCACTACTACCACCCAAACCCAGCCCCGTTTGCCTGCCTTCCTTGGAAGTGGGAGACCTCCCGCCAGTAACGAGGCTCAGTAAGCAGGCTAACAGGCTTGCCAAAATCTCTAGTGATTAGAAGAGAGATGCTCCAGCCCAGAAGGCCCTGGGTGCCTGGGTGCCCTCAGCCCCCCCATCATGAACAGAGCTACGGCTGCCTGCCCTCGGCACTGCTCCGGTGAGGGGTGAGGGCTGGGAGAGGGCAAGCAGAGCAGAGTGCCCAAGAATCCCTGGCAGAGCAGGGGGTAAGAGCCTGGCCGGGGCGGTCGGGTTTCCAGGCAGTCACGCTGCTATCTCTGGCAGCTGCGGGAACACCACGTCCTGCCTGACTCGCGTCAGGCGATGGTGACAGGCGCTAGCAAACCCTTCCCTTTCCCAGGACCCTTCAGACTGCTTAAGACTACGTTGTTCCTCCAACTCGTCTGCGGGATCCTGCCCTAACCAGATTTGTGTTATCCCCAACTCCAATTGCCATAGCTGCACCACAGCAAGCAGGTTTGCAGTGGCAGCATTTTCCAGAAGGACAACTATCCAGATGTGGGGGGTCTTTTCCCCCTAATACAACTTAGAGAAAAAAGGACTCTCTGGATGTAGTTCCTTCTGCCACTCTCAATCTAGATTTCTCCGTTATGCAGGTGTTGTCCTAGATGCCTGGATTCTTCGCGTTCACAAGGAGCAGCAGCAAATAAGCCTCTGAATTCTGAAACCCTCCTAGGACAGGGTGTCTGCCTGTATTGTGCAGACACATGGTGCCTAATGCTATAGTGCCCAGACCCCCAAGTGGGGCTTTATGCTGCCAATACAGAACAGGTATTCATAAGCACAAACTATCCCTAGAGATCCTAAAATGACTGAGGTTAGATATGTCCAGATGCCAAACTCAGGCTTGGTACAAGTGGAACTGTGGAAGACTGATTAAAGCTGAATTTTTGTCCTTCACATCCTGCTTCAATTCTTACTGTAGGATTTACGTTTCACTCATGTACGTCCCATAACCCCTTAAGTTTTCAAAATGTTTTTATATTCTTCTTGCGCTAAGTCATCATGTAACAATGCTGCAGGCTGCTCAATCACTGCTTCTCACAGTGGTGGGTGCATTTCAGGGGTAAATGAAGCAATTCCTGCCTGCGTAGCTGCTAAATACGCAGCAAAATCTTCAGAGCACGGGAGGATATAATCACATAGCAAGTCTGTAACCTAAGCTGAAAGCAGCAAAATACTCACCGCTCTATTAATGTGCTTTTTGATGAGAAGGTAGAGCACCGGCAAAGTCACATAGGCCAGTATCTCCCAAACTTTCCCCGTTAACAACATCCACAAGACCCGATCCTCTGCATCCAAGTTGACCCAACACCAGCCCACAGAAACATTGGAGGCATCGTAGCCGATCTTCTTCAGAGCAACAGCAGCCACCGTAATGCCAAGGGGGATGCCCCAGCTGAGGAAAGAACACGAAGAGCAAGGTTAAGCCAAGAACATACTCAGTTCAGTCCTTCCACACCTCGGGGAAAATGGGTGACAGACCAAGGGATTCTTCAGCAGACAGGAGGCCAACGCCTACTCCAGAGCATCGACGCTCCCGCATCAGGCCTAAGGGAAGTGACCGATAAGGAGGTATTCGACATCATATGGACACGGACTGCAAATCCACCTCCTAGGGACCCGCTTGAGGAACTTGGATGCCTAGTCCTGAAGGACAGAGCCACAAGGATGTGCTACACTGAACTGGAACCTGGCCTGCACAGCAAAGCGGTCAGGGTCCAGTGAGGTAAACAGGGGACAGGGCACCTACTCCCCTTCTCCCAGTCTCTCCCAGAGGCGAGGCCAAGGATACGACACGGCTGGGGCGCTGTACGACATGACTGTCCTGTAGGACCCAGCCATGCACGAAGCTGGCCAATTCACAGCTTTCAGAACACAAGCGACCAAATCCCACATTCTGATTCCTAAGGGACACCTGGCAGAAAGGACCAGCACACAAAAAGATCCACAATTTTATTTCATCAGTGGGGTTTTTTTTTTTGGTTGGTTGGTTGGTTTTTAACTGGAGGTGTAGTCAGTATTTTGGGAGCAAAAGGGTGATTTCTGAAAGGCAAGGGGCACATTTCTTCCCAAGGAAAAGCACTGGCAGTAACAGCAAAAAGCTAAGAAAGCAGAGAGGAGTCATAGTCACATAATTTGGAGTTGTGTTTTGACTTTGGCTTCTTTCTTGACAGCAGAGGCAAATACAGGGAAGCATTTAGAAGAAAAATAACTGTGGTGACACACATGAATTAAGTCACTCAGCAGCTTGGGCTGCCCACAAAAAACCATGAGCAAGAGCTGAAAAATTCCACGTTATGTAAAAATACTCAGCCCCTTCCTGGGTGCTGTTAACACCCGGGACTTTACAGGCCTGCCCTAGCATGTGATGTACAACTCACAAATTACTCCCCAACTGAAATACCGCCCCGCGTTCAGCTGGATGCATCACCTGCCCTTCCCATACACAACCTCAGAGAAAGGTTCTGCGGAGCCTTAGGAGGGACAAGGGACATCTCCCCAGTAAGTGACACAAATGCTTCGGGCAGGGCTCAGACTGAGCTTCCAGCATAACCCTCCTGGCCTCTCCAGATGCGAAGAAAACAAAACCATGACTGTTCTGCTCTCGCTACCTTCCCGGTTCACACTTGTCTTCCACAGACAGCCCCGAGCAGCTGCAGAGAACATGAAAAGGATCTTCCTCCTAAAATCTGTTTCACACGCATCAGGCTACATAGGCAAAAGCAGTTGCCTAGACCGGATTATTTGAAATTCCACAGCCCAACTGAAAAAGCAGAGATCATTCCCATGATATTAGATCTCAAAAATACCCGATTTCCTATTCTTAAATAACATCTGGGTTCACTTACTCACTAAACAAAACAAACGTAAACATAATGCTGTAAAAAAAAATCAGAGTCAACATTTTAGCATGTCTGGAACATTTTGTTTCAACATTCAGTTCGGAGCAGCCAGTGCTAATCCAAGCCGGCGGTGTTACTTAAGCACAGCTCCGCTGCAGGAAGCCCTCCCCATGCTGTTATCAGAGCTGGCTTTCTAAAAACATTCCAAGCATTGCCACCACCATGAAAGTTTCTACACAACTCAAGGCTCATTCTGGTAAAAACGGTGATTTGTCTGAAAAAAGGATGACAGATGCGAAGACATTCACATTTCAGTACACTTGGAAGAGCTGACCACTGAGATAAAGAATTCGAGAGAACTGGCATGTCCTTAAAGAAACCATATTAAGGCACACAAGCACAAATGAGTCCAGTGCCAAGGAAAAGGAAGTGTATTAAAAAATGAATTTGCCTAAATAATGATCTCCACAGCGACCCGAGACTGAAAGAGAACTACATGAGAAGATAAAACTAGGTAAAATTACTAGGTGTGGATATAGAAGAGAACAGCGTAAGTACATACAGACACAGCAAGAGAGACACAGTAGGAAATACCAGACCATTAGGCAAAGGACTTCAAAAATCTTCAGGTATCTAAGTAAGGAAAGGAAGAACGTGGAAGGGAACTGCCACACATCAGGCAGTTAATTTTCACGGAACCGGTGCACTGGGATGAGTTGGCCGTTACAGCTAACACCAAGGACAAAGTGGAAGTGAAGTCAGACAGGATCTAGAAAGTAAAAAGACATTTTGGAGAACTTCTTCAGCTCCGTTTTAGAAAACTGGGAAGGAGAACTGAGACTAGCGATTTGATTATTCTTAAGAACCCCTAAACGACAGATTCCCAAAGACTGGAAAATATCAACGGTTTATACCCACCTAGAAGAATGCAGGAACAGAAGAATCACAATATTATACACCCAAGGCATACGTAAAGACTGGAATAAAAAGGATCCAAGACAACAGAGGCAGAAACTTTACTCTGAGCCCCAAAGTTAATGCAACGATGTAGGCTGGGCCTCTCAAAAGCACGCTTGGATCTAAACGCAGTCAATGCGGGAGAGAGGGGAAAAGCAGTTCCATGCATCTCTCTCAGAGGGCTGGCAATCCCATCTCTAAGGCAGATCCAACAGTACTTATTTCCCCAATATAGCCCCCAGCAATCTATTAATAAAAATACACAAAACACAGCCTAACTTTCCACATTAACACCAACACTGCATTTATACGAGGTAGGACAAGGACCCTTAAACTGCAGCAGCGTACAGCTAAAGTTGCGTTGGTTCTCCTGTCCTCAGTATGCCTGGGTCAGGTTGCTTAATACCACGTTTTGATTTACGCTGCACAGCTGGCTTTTTTTTTTTTTTTTCCAAGAGGCTCTTACAGCAGGGAAGACCTGCCGTCACCTGCCTGCACAGGATAGACAACAAGCCATCCTACCAGTACGCCTGCAGGCGATTCCTTCTGGGGACAGCAATTTTTGCTCTGTAAGAGTAAACCAGCCAACTTCAGGAAAGAGCTTTGATCATACATTGTAAGCAGAACTCCAGACCAGGTCTGCTCCAATTTAATTTTTGCCTTTTTTTTTTTTTAACCCACTCAAACATTAAACTGAGTTTGCAGGACCAAAGCACCAACATCCCGGTACAAAGCGGAGACCCCTGCCAGAGAAGCATGCAAGAATTTAAAAGCTAAGGCAGCAGCAGTCAGGTAGCTCGCACTTTGGTTGGACTGCCCTACAAGCTTTTATAAACTAAATGATAAAGCCACAGCAAATAGCAAGAGATCCCTGCACCTTACGGGCAACACTTCAGACCTTCAGTCCAGTTCTGAGATTTAGCACTGGCACTGCCACACTCATGCACAAGGCATGGAGGACACTGACGTATGGTACAGCAGCACATGAAATGATCCCTACCTACTCCATGGGCATGCATGCACGGTTATAAATATATATATAAGGACACACACACGTAATATATATATTAGCACACATGCATATCTTTTTTATATATATAAGCATATATATATAAAAAAATAAAAGCATATATATATAAAAAAATAAAAGCATATATATGCTTATAGCCATCTGCATAGCCTGACCATGAAATGTAAATAGTTCAGAGGTTGACAGCAATTGCTATCAAAAGCAAAGCAAATCCCAAGGTGGGTTCTGGTCCATTCCCCTCCCCAAGTTTGGATCAACTGCTCTCACAGCAGAGATGACGCTACCCAGCTCAATGATATTTGATATTTAGAAATCCAGAGCAAGTGAGGTAGCCTGGAAATTTACACTCTGGATGCCAGAGCTTACCCCTTACAACTATATAAATATTTTCAAAGCTAATCGTAAGCTTGTTTTCAAAGCTCATCTGAGCTCAACACATGTTTAAAACCAGAACAGAGCCTGTAGCTGTCTAGTCTAGCAGTAGAATAAGTGGATGTGTCACCACATCAGTAAGGAACAAACCTGCTTGACAGGTTGCATCCAGTGTGACACCCTAATTTCCCTAAAAAGAAAATTTCAGGTACTGACTTCCAACATGTATTTAGTCAGCTCCACTTGGCTGAAGAACAAACAGGCTCTGGTTATACTCAACATCGAGTGTATTCATCTTTACAAACACTTGCCCCTGGAGAGTAACTGCTCGTGGAGAACAGGAAACATGCACGACAACTGCATCCTGCCTTGAGTCCCTTCCAGAGCGTCTCGGGGTGACTCTTCACACAATGGTCGCTGCGTGACTGCATTAGCAACCTATGTTAGCAAACGAACTAAAAAATCCCTGGTTCTTGCCTAGACAAAGATACTGGAAACTTATCTTTAAATCCTAAAAGCATCATCAGCCCTTTGCCACCTTTTCTTTCGCCCTTGGCAGGTCTCCCTCACCTGCCTTCTGCAATTCACATAGGGACTAGAGTCTTTTCCCATCAGTTGCAGCAGTTCCTATCTGCATGGTACTAAAAGAATTTTAGGCTAACAGCACACAGATAGCCAGTAGGACTGACATGTGTGAGGGGGAGCCGTCTCCAAGCATTATGTCCCGAATTTGATTTTATGATTGCGTTCTCAGGTAATGATAGAAGTGCAGGGAAGGAAAGAAGGAAGCTGGGTCACAAGCAGACGGGCAGCGAACAGGTCCTCGCTTGTTTTCTCCAGCTTTTCACACAGATCATAAAACAGGAAGAAGCTTTAAGCACGGGCTCTGCACAGAACGGGAGTCGTTTATGAAGCAGAACCTGGCAATAGGTCTTCGATGAAAGCTATCTGTATTGCCCTTTAAACAGAGCAAGTGGAGCTGATTGACACCACCACCAAAGGCAGCATTTTATTTTTACTGTGAAGGCCTGAAAATAAACCTAGCAAATTCACCCAAAGGAAGTTCAGGTTGAACACTCCCTTCCTCTCTGTTACAAGGCTAGAGCAATCTTTCAGGATTCTTACACTTTGAAAAGAGGGCAAGATCACAGCCAACATTATTTTAGTGAATCTGCCTGTTTCTTTCCGCACTTCATAGCCGATGAGGCTGAGAAGCATTAAACCAGATGGACAAGCTGAAGTACAGAGAGATGCCACACAAGTGATGAGCAGACAGGAAAATTGCAAATAGGCCAGATTTGCATCAGCTCTTTGGTGTAGCCCGATGCAGACAGCACACCCATAAAGAAGTCAGACTCCTTTTTTCTGTTCTTAAGCAACACGTGGCTCTTTACTGGTGCTCCATCCTCTCCCTAATTCTTACAGTGCAACTCCCTCTGCACTTGAAATTAAATAACCTAACAAACTCCACCGTCTCACTGCATCTTCTGTCAACTTCGCCCATGACAGCCTGGTGCACCCAGATGCACGCGGTCACCTGGGGCCGCCTCACGCGCAGCCCTCGCTCTCAAGCAATGATTACAACCGGTAAGGCAGGAGTCAAAGTTCCTCCCCGATTCACACTTAGCCTCCGTATCTCTCTCTGGCCAACCTTTACCTGGACTCAACTCCATTCAATCATTCCCAGATGACGCTGTTGGAAAATAAAAGGTGACAACTATTTGGCTAAGAAATCAAAGCAAATTCAGTACTTGCCCTTATTTTTTTTTTTTTTTAAACCAGATCATTCCTCTTATAATTTATTGCAACAGCTTGGCTGCACAGAGGACTAAAGGATCACTGTTTTGCTCAGAGTGGAGGTAGCACATGATTCCACAAGCTTAAATTGCATAATGAAAGCTTTTACTAAACATGATACGGAAAACCAGCTTGCTAAATAGCAGAAACTGAGACATAAAGCTACAGCGCGGTCTGTTTTGTCCTGCTTTCAACCAAACATGCCAACACCACCTTCGGAGTGCTTTTCTAGCAGCCTTGTCACTTGTAGACTGCGTTCTCCTACCAGTATTGCATTGCAGCAACCTGCCTGGGGAAAAGGGAAGGACCTACAGACCGGGCTGGCACTGGGAGGGCGGGCACCCAAGGAAACAGCTCCCAAACACAGGAGTTTTGGCAGCAGCAGGCAGGTATCGCAAACACAAGTTTTGTGGTATTATTTCTAGGACATCAGAGCAGATTGTGGAGGGAAAGCAGAAGCCAGGATTTTTCAGCGTCATTATCCTTGCCAGAGATTCTTCTATGTGACCTTAAGGAAAGAATTTTTAACTTTTCCCACGTCTCCATTTCTGTGCTTGGGAGGTGGGAAATAAGCAGGGCTGTTCAGTTAAAAGACAGCAAAATCCTTGTTTAAAAGGAACTCGAGAAGGGCACGCTGTCCTGGGGAAAACAGCAGGTAACTCGAGGAACCATCCAAGCGCTTCATCCCAGAGCGGAGCACGCGGCGGAGGTGGCTCCAGGCCACAGAGTGGGTGCCTGCGGGGTCCGCACCTCGCGCTCGCGGGGGGGACAGCGGGCAGCACCCACCTCACGGCGTGGAAGCAGCAGAGCAAGCCTGTGCCCGTGGGCGAGCCCCTCGCGATGGTGATATAGAGGTAGAGGGCAATGGCCATGGTCCAGAAGAAGGAGCTGGTGTTGGAGAAGGTGGAGAGGGCACCCTGGAGCACGCAGTCCCAGGAGGTCCTGTCGAAGTCCTGCAGCACCCCGTAGAAGTAAGAGAGGGCTGAGAGGAGATCCGCCAGCGACAGGTAGAGCAGGAGCTGCCGGGGCCGGGTCCGCAGCTCCGGCCAGAGGGCATGGGTGCAAACCAGGAGGCTGGAGCCCAGGAAGGAAAGCACGCAGGAGACCAGCACGACGACCCGCTCCGAGGCGTACAGCTCCGTGGGGGGCAAAGGCGCGGGCATGCCGGAGGGGGGGCAAGGGGACACTGCCCCGCTCCCAGGGACCGAACCGCCGGGGCTCCCCGGGGGCAGCGAGGGCC